GAGCTATTTTAATTACCGTTCCTTAGTTATTTGAGCACTGACTGCAGGTTGTAAGCGCAGATGGAATCTAAAAGCAACTGCTTGTCGGAAGGAAATCGAAGAAGGGGCAACTCATTAATTTAAGCTGTGTAGAATATCAAAAGGCACGATTAAATCTCATCTATGCCCTTCAGAATTCATTCCCTTTGGTAAGAGATAGTTACTTTCAACGGCAAACAGACGAATGTGTAACTCTGCATAACATGTTGCACGTAAATATTGCAGGTGCAGATTTCATTTTTTTAATATATAATTCAAGTGGGTTTTTGCCCGGAGTGATTGCTGTTTATTATGCAACTGAACATAATTATGTGCTCTTCATAATCATCGTGTAACAGGTGCCAGAAATACAAGCATTGCTGCTTAAAAGCACTCAATGCTAATTAAATGTTTAATTGTGATCCCAAATGCGTTTTATAATGAGCTTGTCATGCTTATTCCCCCAATTGGAGTATATTTTATTATTTGTTTGTGATGTGCCATTTAAGGTGCACTTTAATGGGCGTAGGTGGGTGTTGGGTGGGCGCATTGAAATCCTCGATGGGTTCAGGAAAATGTATGTATGTATGTAGTCTTAAGCCCTGCCGAGGAGCATATGCTGCCTGTTTGTCTTTCATGCATAATTAATCACTGTGTGACGCCGCCGGGAGTTGAATGGTGTTGTGCTGACATGGCCGTGCTTTTTTACGGGTATCACTGCCACAGACTCCTAGCCGCTAAATTCATCTCCTTCCTAGGATTTCCAAGGACTCCCCTTAGCCTGTCCTGCCTTTGGCATGCGGCAGCATAAGCGATTCGGATTCCGAGGGGCGTTGCGAGTGGAGTGGACGTGGACGTGGAAAGGACGTTTACCAGGAGGTGAAGGCTCCTGGCCGGCAAAACGATGTTAATGTCAAGTAGATCCCGGAGCACGTCTTGCTGCGATAATTGTCGGCGTAAATCATGCCGAAGAGCAACAGAATTACGGCCCAGACAGACACATACTATCCTTTGACATATACATGGAGAAACCAATGTAACTTACTCACATATGTATCCTTAGTCGGAGCGACTTTCATTCTTGCAGTGTACTGCCCGCGTTAATGGATTGTGTCATTCGAAGTGTTCGGGCATTTCCGCGGACATTTTTCATTGCGGCCCCAGGACATAATTGAAATAAATATTATGCTGGGTTCCCTTTGGAGCGGGGGAATATTTGTTAGGCAGCCACTTTATTGAAATGTGTTTACTTATTTGCATACCTTGTGCGGGGAATTGATTGAAATGGAAATGTAAACTCAAGTAATGCGGGGAATTTGCAGACGTTTAAGGTATGGAATTCTAAAAGTCAGATTAAGTGCTGTGGCAAAAGGAAAACAAAGTGTTGCTTGGCTTGATGCTGAAATGTAAGAGGCATTACACAAATTAATGCGCACAGCAGCGGGTGAAAAATTATGCAAATCACGTAATTTTTATTTCGCCGTGTTGAAAAGTCAAGACGACATGCTTTTTGTTTCAAGCGGCTGCTTTTAAGGCGGTGGGCCTATTGTTCCGCCCACTTTAATTGCAAAAACGCGCGCAGGTATCTCCTTAAAACAAGGAAATTACTTTATTTGGGCTTTCTCTTAAGCATTACTTCGGTTTTATTGACTTAAATTCCGTTTTGTGGGTTTCTAACTGGTTATTTGCAAGCATTCCTTAAATAACGACTTTCCCTTACTTTTCAAATTACGCGCCTGCCGTGCAACCCTGCGCACGTAATCGATTGCCAGTGGGCATGCGCACAACTATCGATTGCCGATGACAAACAGCTGTGTACCTATACTTATCCAATATGGCTGCAAGTAAAAAAATTGTAACGCTGTGAAAAAACTGCAACTGAAATTGCATTTTCCGCTTGGGTATTTGATAGAAAAGTGCCAGGAATGTGAATTTGTGCAAACGAACGTGGAACACTAATCGAAAATCAAGTGCGCGCTAGGAAATCGCAGCGGAAAAGTGAAAAACGAAAAGAGTCGCCGGTGCCCCGCCAAAAAAAGAAGAAGACTTACCCCCCACCACTTTGCAAACATTTGTATCTGGAAATAAGGAAAATACTGCGAAAATGGAAGCCGACATAACGCCCCTGGCGGAAACCAACGGAGAGCAGCGCGCAAATCCCCAGGAGAGTGCTGAAAACCCAGAGCAACCGCAACCGCGCCAGGATTTGGCGGCCAAGTCGGTGGGTTCCGCCGATGATGGCGTCTCCGGAACTGTGGGACTGATTATGGATTATCTCGAGGTGTGCCCCCGGCTCAAAACACTCTCAAACGCTTGCGAAGCTCATATGTATATATATGTATGTTTGTATGTTTGTATTTATTTATATTACAGGACGATGCCGGTGCAGCAACTGCGGATCAGGACGCGGAAATGGGCGAGGCGGAGTATCTGGATGGCGAGATGGCGCAAGAGGATGAAACCGAGACACCGCAACCGGAGAAGGCCAATGAAGGTTGCCAGGACACCAGCAATAAGAAGGATTTGCTAGAATCTGCAGCTAAAGATAATCTTTCCAAGGAAAAAACTGTAGAGACAGGTGATAAAGACACCGAGCAGGAGAAGGAAGCAACTCATTTACATGAAAAGAACAAGTTAGATGAAAACGATGAGGCCGAAAAGGATGGTGAGGAGGGCGATGCAGATGATGAAGACGAAGCAGAGAAGCTGGAGGAGGAGGATGGCACCGAAGAAGGCGATGAGGCCATTGAAGAGGACGAGGACGCCATCGATGAGGACGAGGAGCCCACCGAAGAAGTCGAGGAAATCGACCAGGAATTCGAGACCGCCACCGATGCAGAAGGTGAACTAATCATTGGCGATGAACCCGGCGATCTGGCCGATGTGCCCATAAGGGAGCGCAAGAAGGAGGAGCCCGTGGACGAGAACCAGTGTCGCGTATGCACCAGCAAGGAGGAGCTAGTCTGCCTGTTTAAGAAGCAAATCGATGCCACGCCCGCGGACATGCTGCTGGTCATCTGTCCTAATGTCTCGATTTTGCCCAAGGACTTTATGCCGCAATTCATATGCACCAAGTGCATGGGCAGCCTTACCATTGCCATACAGTTGAGGAAGCAGCTAGAGACCACGGACCAGGAGCTGCGCAAGCGCTTGTCCAGGAGCAAGAATAAAGTGCGAAGACCACGCGGTTATGTGGTCATAGACGCACCCGTCACCGATTCCAGCGAGGATGAGGATGAGCTCGACGATGAGTTTAAGGTATCCGATGTGGCCGGAACCACAAGTGCAGACAGCGATTCTGCCGACTCTGATGCCAGCGAGGAGAAAAAGAAGCCCGGTCCACGCGGACGTCCTCGAAAAAAACCGCTCAAGAGAGGCACTGACAGTGATGGGGAGCCTTCAAGCGCCCAGAAGAAGAAATACCAGCCCACATCGACGGCTTCGGTGGGCCCATTTGAGTGTCCCAACTGCGACTTGACGTTCTCGCGCAAACAATCCTATGTGCTTCACCGCAAGACTCACGAAAGAATAGAGCATGCCTGCCCCATTTGCGGCAAGAAGTTCAAGGTGGAGTGGGCCTATAAGACGCACATGCAGCGGCACGAACAGGAGCGCGCCCACTTCCGCTGCGAGCTGTGTCCCAAGATATTCCGCCTGCGCGCGGAACTGAAGCACCATATGGCCCAGCGTCACGACGAGCACGGCTTCATTTACGAGTGCAAGCGCTGCCAGCGGACCTTCCTCACCCAGCAGCGATTGCAGCGCCACCAGGCCGTCGGCTGTCAGCGGCACAAGGAGGAGACCGGGCGCATCAAGGAGGACCAGTCGCGCATCAAGCAGGAGCCGCGCAGCAAGGATGACCGCATGAGCCATCATGGTAACAACAGCAACATGGGCAAACGCCGTCCCGGCGAAGGACGTGATCTTTTCAAGGCGGTGGCCCCACCAACCACCACCTACTGGAGCGACAGCTTCTCGGACTAAAGTCAAGGTGCGGCCGCTTTGCAGATTTCATTTCAAACATTTCTAATGAACGATTTTAAGTTTCTCTAGCTGTAGGAAGAATTCAGTGCAAATAAATCACATTTGTAATAAATACAAAATAACATTAGTGGAAGTTTTGAATCCATGTAAACTTCTCAAGCTAAGTAAGTAAGCGAAAAGGCAAAATAAAAAGTTCGATTAATGGCAAACCCCAAGCTCTTCTTTCGTTTCTAAGTACACCATTGCATCATAAATATATCAAACATAATATATAAGATATAACCCTTGCTATTAAAAATATGCGCCGCAACTTACATGGAATGCGCTCAGTGACCCACAATGCTTTCCTTTGAACCCCTTTTAATTGGATCCCAAAGCTGTTGCCTGCGAAATGGCAGCACTTAGTGCCATTCTGGGGCACAACCAACTGCAGTTCCGCACAATCTTGGCCATAATGTGGCGGTCTAATGTCTATAATTTCGCTGCTGCTGCATAACTAGGAGTGTTTAACTACTGCGGATTACTTTTGGCCCAAGCTGGGGTCCTTTTGCCGACTTGCTGCTTGTATACGAAAAAACCAAGTGTGGCTATTCACAACTTGCATTTGTGATCAGCTACTTCGGCAAGGTTTGGCCAGAAAAATGCTATTAAACTCGAAGGAAACAATTCGGCCAGAAAGGTGGTACTCTTCCAGGCAAAATACACTCGTGGCTTGAGGGAAAACCAACTTAATTGCAACGTTCTTAAAGGCAATTTCAAGTTTATTGGTAGAAACTACGTTTTTTTTCTATGCCTACTGACGATGTAGCAAGTTTTAGGGCGAAATTGAAACATTTTAAATTGAATTGAGACACGGTTTGACTTCAACGTTTATTTACAAAGCAGTGGGTAATTGTTTTGGGGCAGGAAATCTGATGCACGTGCTAGTGTTTCGCTTCGGGAATGCTGTTGCACTACATTGGTGTCCAATTGATGCTGCGCCTCGGGCGCGCGCCTAATTAGAAGTGATGGATGGAGTGGTAGGTGGGCAGGTGATAGGAGACCGAGGACACTGGATGGTGGGCAATCAGCGGGGCATGGGAGATGAGTGGGGCATGCGATATGAGTGGGGCATGCGATATGATTGGGGCATGGTGCACCAGCGTGGGCGCGGCGATGTAGTGCGAGTGGGTGACCAGGGGGGCGTGGTAGCCGAGACCCAAGGACAAGCCACGCTTTGTCTTCACGGAGGACTCCTGCTGCTCCTCGGCGGCGGGAGCAGGTGCGGCCAGGATGCAGGCCAAACTGGCGATGAGCAGTAGCAGCTGTGTCGTTGCCAAGCAATTTTCATTGGCATTTGACGAGGTTGGGCGGGAAAAAAGAAAGCGGCAAGGATTATTAGAAATTCTTGAGTGTATGTCATTTCTGTTCAATATCTTCTCAGCTGTGGCAAAGCTTACAGTGAATTTCATGTTGCTATCTATCTAGGATTAAGTGTAGCTCGAAGTGAAGTTCGCACGCCAGTGGCTTTAATTCAACTAACGACGCTGGCAGCCAGAACCTGGTTATTTATACCGTGCGGATTGTTAGAAACTCACTCAAAACTAAGTCAAACGCACTCATTAGGCGAAAACTATTTAGGCCCAAAAATAAAGTAAAATTCGCACAAGACACGCATCGAGAAAAATATGCCCACATCTAGACAAAATTGCACAAACAAGCCAAGCGACTCAAGAAATACACATGCGGCTAGATTTGTGTGCTTGTGCGTATCCGAGTGGGGCCGAATGTATCTGAGTATCCGACGGAACGCCACTGCCAGTCCACATAAATTGTTTTTTAATTCGGCAATTATTTGGAGTACTCACTTTGAGTGGCCATAGGCGCCTCAATTTATTAGCCACTGCTGTGGTCAATGTGTTCATCTCTACTACTAAATGCCAAAGCCATTAATAACAATAATATTTATCTGGCTGCCACTTGTCCGCAATTGTGAGTTATGAACACTCCATTACTTGCTTTTGTCGGTTATAAAACACTGCAATCAATTGAAAATGTGCATTTAAAAGCAACAGTTTTGCACAGTTCTTGGTTTTTAAACCCAAACCATTTGCCTGTTATAGGCGTGCAAAATGGGAAAAATAACTACATTTTTCCAACTCCGAAAGCAGCAGAAAATCAAGGAGGTATTTGTCCTGTCTGTAATCTGATAAGAGCTGGACGAGGCTGTGCAAATAAACTACCAACCAATGGATTAAGTAAATTAACCATGGGCACGAATTTGATTAGGCCTTCAAAGGAATTGACATAGCTGAAGACCAATTCGCATTTGCCTGCCGGCGACGGCAACAAATGTTTGCCTGAGCTAATTGAAAGTTACACTTTAAGTTATAGCCAAACATATAGCTTGCTAAATTCTCAGTTGATATGCAGCACTTTAGTGGTAGTTACACCACTTAATGACCTCAATAACTGGGCTCCCTGGTGGGCCAGAAGTGACGGGGAGCTAAGCAGTGGGATCGTTGAGCCAATTGGCCCAGCGTGGCCTTCTGAGGGTCCTTCTCCTCCTTCAGTTCATCTAATACTTCCGCCGGAAATGTGGTAATAAAAAATGAGAAAACGGAGGTATACAGCTGTGAACACTCAGAAAAATAGCTCTACTGATCTGCTAAATCAATTAGGATTTACAGCATGTGCTTTGTTTATAAAACTTGTATTTAGTGCTAAAGATAACTGAATAGGTAATCTTCTTTATGCTTCGCATATAAGTTATTGATATAATTAGCATGAATTGTTAATTTTTTATGAATAACATTTTCTTTTTTTACTACAGTTACAACTTCTTTCTACAACATCAGTTCTATATTTTATGATGCGCTTTGATTGTTACCATTATACATTTTTTTTGAGTGTAAAAACTCTTATCTGGCTAGCGAAATGTTAATTAACGGCCCCGCAAATGGCGGAAAATGAGGAACGAGGCACGGTCTGGAGTGCCACTGCTGTTTATCTGCAGCTGTCAGTTGGTGGCGTTCATTTTTTCGTCCTTTGCGGGGTCCTGGGCGTGTCCTTTGTGGGCGCGCCACCTGTTCAGACATTTTGCTCAAGGCCAGGCGCTTGTGAATGGGAGGCTAACAAGACGCAAGGAACTTGCTGTCAGTGGGAGGTACAACATAAAGTTTCTGAATTAAGCGAAAAAATATAAACAAAGCCATGTTCGTAAGACATTGAGATACCGGAAATTAAAAGTAACTATAAGTATTGTAGCCGCCGCTATGTGGCGCTTGTGTGCCATCATGCATATCTGTTGGATTTCCATTAACTGAGTAACGGGTATCCGATAGTCGGTGATTGGTTCCCCAGAGTCTTCTGTTACACTCCCTGAAATTAATAATTGCCTACTATTCTTTTATTATTTCCCCTAAAATGTCTCTTTAATTACAAAGCCATTTGCACAAAAAAAAAACGCCCCCAGAAATGGTCAAATTAAATGAGTTTTTTGAAACCGAATTCATTTCGATTGAATGTGTGGAAATAACTAATAATGGCCCGCAACGCAACAGATGTAAACGTTTGACGAAAGCGAAAGGCCAATCGATCAACATCAAATTGCAGACAGACATTGGATTGACTGGCAGTTAGTTTCAGTTCAATGGAACTACATTGGACAGTTTTGAGTTACCTGAGTTACCTCAATATGCATATTGACCGAGGAATGCAATCGATCGAAGTCCGGCAAAGCGTATAAGTTGCGAAATGAGTGGCGAACAGGATTTATATTCAGATTCAGACTTCGATTTGTGCGCGCCATTAGCCAAATGCAACACCTTCGACGACGTGTGGACACGTCGACTTTGATTCGACCACTGAGTGATCCGGGGTGGTAGTGTCATATGCCAACATAACTTGTGCACTGCAAGAAATGTATAAAGGATATGATATCTCGACGTTCATGCGGACGGACAAGCGGACGGACAAGCGGACGGACAAACGGACGGACAAACCGACGGACAAACGGGCGGACAAACGGACGGACAAACGGACGGACAAACGGACGGACAAGCGGACGGACAAACGGACGGACAAACGGACAGTCAAGCGGACGGACAGACGGACAACCACTTATCATTAAATTTGTTTTGAATTAAATGGTTCTCTGATGTACACTTAACAGACTCCACGAACATTAAAATTGTAATGAATTATAAATCACAAACTTGTTACCTGAAGCATTTTCTGCCATATAAATGTGCAGCTACTTCAAAAAGCATGTGTATTAATGGGTCTGCTTTTGTATTCAAGTGCGGTTCCAATTAATTGCCTACAACGCCCAGGTTGCTTTGAATCACAGGTGGACATTTGGACAGGTTTGCTCAGCTCACTGCAGCTCTACTTTGGCCATTCAAAATTGTTTATCGTTTTGAGGAGTTGCAGTAGCATTTCGACACCATATGCCCATAATGAAGAAACGGCACAGATAATTCTAAGTAAAGTTGTTGCCTAATACTTATGCTAATACCCATTTTCTGACTTCAGTGTGAACAAGTTTGTTGCACAGCTAAAAAGGACAGGAGGTCCTTTGAGAATCCAATAGAATATTGTTTGAAAATGAAATAAATAATATATAATCATATTTGTTTATGGCACGCTTTAGACGCAAGTTGTAAGCTATTATTTAAAAGGACTAAATCCACTAACAGGAATCCTCACTGTTGTTTCAGCTTCTAATTAGCACGCATACAGCACAAGAAAGAAGTAATCGGTCTGCAATGATGCAGGACACCGGCAGTCAAATGGGCAAGGCCCACTTGCAACATCGGGTTCCTCTGAACGAGACGGTCCTGAAGGACCATCACCTCACCAGCACCGACATAGAAAAGTTCGTAAAGCTATGGCAGGAGTTCCAGAAGAACATGACCGCCCAGGTGGACGAGTGCCAGGGGTACTGTCAGGGGGAAATATACAACTGGTTGCGAGCCTACAACAGCATCCATGGATACGTTTCGCTGATGGTGAGTATTGGCTACATCCCTCCAAGGGCACGAAACCCGAAATGTGGGCCAAAACAAAGGAGTCCCGTTGACTAATGATGAGCTAGGAAGCCAAGACGTTACACGCGGAGCCTTTCCGGCAGACCACTGATGAATGTAAGGGACTTCTTTACCTTTGAACTCTGGCCAAGTCCTGGGTAGTCGGCCTTTTTTCGAATTAAAGTTATTCCATGCGCTCAGCTCAACCATCGAAATCACAAAATCAAATTAGAGTCCGGGAATCTCGGTCTTTTGTTTTTGTTCGAGTCACCCATTCAGGGATTTTTTGAAAGGGATATAAATTATATTAGACGTAGCTAAGGCGTTAATGAGTTTTTGTTTCATTATAATTGTCAGTCATAAGCCTTTTTGCGCTTTACAACCACAAGAATCTGCTCGGAATTTAAGAATTTAGGCCTAGTTTATATTAATTTATAGCCCAGCAAATACCAGAAATACAATGTCTGAAAATGTGGCTGTATTGATTTCACTAGTTGGCAACAAAATAGTTTAAGAGGCTACCTCTTAAAGGCGATCTGAATTCCGAACTTCGCTTACAGGCATTTTGTGCTTGCCTGAACAATATTAGGAAATGCAAATACGAAAGGTCAGGACAGTTGAGTTGCTGCTCACGAGCAGGGTAAATAAAATATTCATCCACTTTGGTGTCCAAGGGGAGTGCATCCAATTGAAAGTATCTGAGGGCTCGAAGGACGCATTTTATGTGGCTTCCTTTTGTTTCTTCACATCATCTAGATTTGCGTATTCGGGACGATAGCAAACATATTGAACATAATGGTGCTGACCAGAAAGGAAATGGCCAAGACGCCCATAAATAACATTCTCAAGTGGCTGGCGGTGGCCGATATGTTTGTGATGCTGGAATACATACCCTATACGTCGTATCAGTACATCTACATGGGGCCAGGTAAGCCTGTCTTTAGGAATATCAGTTTACTATAAACAACACTGTATATGGCAGGTGAAAAGGACTTGAGCTACACGTGGGCGGTTTGTCTGCTGGTCCACATGCACTTCACCCAGATTCTGCATACGATTTCCATTGGACTGACTGTGACGCTGGCGGTGTGGCGCTACGTGGCCATCAGGTGAGAAGGATCCCTTGGCCAGCAATGCATGAATTACCCACGGAACTCGCCGTCATCCATGTAGAGTTTGTCTCCGGTTCACATTCATGCTTAATCCACATCCGCAATTCGAACAGACACATCCGGCTAATCTGATTGCCACACCATTGTGGCAATGTGGCTTCTCTTCTCTTCCCCCGTCTTTTGTTTATAGCCAAATGTTACCGTCTCTATTCCACAGACATCCGAACGGGGGCTGTGCCAACTTCCTGCTCGCACATTCCCGGGAGGCGATCCTCCTGCCCTTCATCCTCTCGCCGATCCTCTGCCTGCCCACGTACTTTGTGTTCCAGGTGCGGGAGACCTACGACGTGGACAAGGTCAACTCGGAGGCCCTCTACCACGTCTACTTCGATAAGGACTCGGTGCTCTACAGGTGCGACTAGCAGAATCACTTCTCCAATCGTTTTATCTTCGAAACCCCTTTCAGATTCAACTTCTGGATACATTCCGTGCTCATCAAGCTGCTGCCCTGCGGCATCCTAATTGTGATCAGTGCAGTACTCATGCATGTCTTGTGCGAGGCATCGAGGCGCCGCTTGAAGCTGAGGGACTACAACAATCCAGCCAAATATGCCATCCAACCCAATCTGAATGAGACGAAATCCAAGAAGTAAGTGCGCAGTTGAGTTACTTGAGTTACTTGAGTTAGGCTCTTGGATTCGGCAAGTCCCTCCTAGTTTCAGTACTTAGGATCCTTTCTTCCTAGGATCGCTACGCCTAAAAACTATTTTCCAAAATGGGATTGAACCAGCTCCAATATTTGAGTAGCTTAGCTATCCCATTTTTGCATTTATCGTTTTGCAAGATATTATTCCCCATTTTATTATGATTTTTTCTATAATTTTGTAGGCCGCCGCGCTGTGATCGCCGAAACGATCGGACCACGCTTTTGCTGGTGGCCGTGCTGGTCCTGTTCCTGATCACGGAGTTTCCACAGGGACTACTTGGCCTGCTGTCCGGGGTGATGGAGAAGTGCTTCTTCGCCCACTGCTATCCGCCGTTTGGCGAGCTGATGGACCTGCTGGCCCTGATCAACGCCGCCGTGGGATTCGTGCTGTACGGACTGATGTCGAAGCAGTTCCGCACCACCTTCCGTTCGCTGTTCATGAAGCGGCACTTTGGCAGCACCGAAATGACCAGGCTAACACGTGTTACCACGACTTGCGTCTAATTGTGTGTGAATCATGGGTTGAAGTAGCTGAGGGACATCCAAGATGTTCTTGTGCGGCCCGGGATTTGCGTTTTCTAAACCACAAACTTTATAAAAGTTTCGTTATCTTGAGTAAGAAAATACGAGAAACTGTGTGTGGGATTAGTGTGCGGACTCCACAAGGATTTACTTTTAGCTATAGTACTAAGGGGTTGACTGGTGCATCGATCGGTTAGAAATTGATTCTGCTTGTGATCTGGCTGTTTCGCAAAGTGCCATTTCGTTTCCAAATAATTACATTACGTTTACATTCATTAGTTTGCCAGTTGGTGTTTCAGATTCGTCTTAGTGCATAAGTTTCATAGGCTAAGTCAGTGCGCGTTGTACAAATACGAGACATTTACTTTTCCATAAGGTGTAAAAACAGGAATCCATCAGCAAAACCACAAAACCACAAAACATTAACTGGCTAAGAGGACTGCAGAACTCAATGAGCCCCGAGTTGCGCTCTCTTCTTAGCTGGAATTCTATATTGATTGTATGGCATTAACTGGTATTCAACAAGGTGCGCGTGCATTTTACATTGGCCAATTGAATACCCAATATTTTGAATACTTTTTAAGTCGCTTATACGGTTTATAAATAAATGTGAACACTTTCAAAAGAACTGTTTATTGCTTTCCATTACCAAAAAACCCAGCTAGTTCTGACTAACGACAGCATTCACCTCCAGTGGCAGCTCGTCTGGCAGGAGTTCCGTGGACCGATTGTGTCCCAAACCAGATTCCCCCACATCGGCGGTATCCAGCAGGATGCCAGTGCCCTGATTCGAGATTCGCAGCAGGGATTTCAGCTTGGTGGCTTGGAATTTGTACTGCAGAAATGAAGATTGATAAAATCTGGTCTCGAGCGAGTTGCGTCCACAATGTAACGAAGTTGCAAGGCATTGCGGTGTGCTTTCTGGCCAATTATGCGATGGAATTTCTATTCACGTGCCCTTGCATACAGCCACTGGGAATGAAAGTATTTCGGGCGACTTACTTCCGTTGGCAGCAGCAGATCCTGGGCCTGGCTCATGAATCGGTTGTACTGCTCCGTGGCCAAGGCCAATCTCCCGGTTTCGTAGCAAAACAGGGCAAAGTTCAGCACAACCAGGGGATTACGTCCGGCTCCTTGCTGGCCAGTTGCCATGGTACTGGCCCTTTCCAGAGCCACAAACGCGTTCTCCATATCCTCCAGCTTTCGCAAGCAAACTGCGGGTTGCGCGGAAAAAGGAAGCGGTTACTTTGGCTAAAACTTACACATTGCAAAAGGAAAGTCAAGTGCTTTTATTAGAGCTGAGTTTGCCGTATGTATCTATTTTGTATGTGCACACCATATGAATTATGAGGTAGAAAGTGAAGTGCAAACTATTTGTTTTAACTATTTGTTCTGCGAGTGCATTGCAACTTACGGCCCAGCAGCATGTAGCACTCGGCATTATCCTTGCGCAGGTTTATGGCGGCGGCCAGCGTGTGAAAGGCACTGGCGTATTGTTCAGCTGCAGCCAAGAGGGGGGTAAATGGAAAAAGGGAAGACAACAGACGCTTCTTAACGGAAGAAAGGGCAAGAAACGGCCACAAATGGCAAGAAATGTTAACAATGCAGCAGGCAAAGGGGCAACGAATGCCTTCGGCTCGGGCGTGTCCTGGCACTGTTTGGAAATTTATTAAAACCTCCAACCCATGGGGTCCTTCCTACGCCTGGAGTGTATATCTGTGCCCAAATCCAACCTCATGCAGTTTGGTTTCCTATTTCTCTACTTATTCGGTCTTCATTTGACTAGCTATTAGTTCGTTTGTGACGATTTTCCCTTTGACTAAGGTAGTGCAAGGACGAATGCTGACAGAATTGCAAACAGTTATTGGCCAATCATGAAACTGTCGAAACGTAGTAGACATTTCCAAGCATTCACTTAGTGCACAAAAAGTTCTGAGTGTCCGGCAGTTACATTTTTGCTTCCCACACTTTCAGCTACGTGACAATATTGCTTTTCATATTTTAAATATTAATAAATATTTAATGAAAAACATTTTCAGCCCTACGGCTTGGGAGCTGCGAAATATTAACTATACCCACTACTCGCAGTGTAAAGAGGCATACTCGGTTTGTTGAACAGTAAGTAACATGAAGCATTTCCGAGCTTAGAAAGCGCATTTCGCATTTCTTTTTCTGAGAATAAGTGGTTAATATCTTCTAATTCGCTTCCATGTTAAAAAGAATGTGGTGTGCTTTATACACATTGAATTAGTGTTCTATACACAACTTTGTTTACTGGCTTCACTGAATAAGTAAGTAATATAAATGGTATACTTTTTACCCGGCACTTTGCCATATCAACAGTTTGAAAGCCATAAAAGACTTAAATAAATCCCCTTTTACAAATCTGCCCACAAGCGTTGCCGATTGATAACTTGATTGACACTAGGATAATACCCCCCAGTCGTAATATTTAATGTCCCAAAGTGCACTTGGGTTTTGGCCAACTCACAGGCAATGTAGATTAAACTGAGGTTGTAAAGGGCATTGTAGTTAAGTGGTGATAGCCAAACGGATTTGCGCAGCGATGAAATAGCCTGTGGGTTATTAAACATTTAAATGCCCGCACAAGTGATACAGCAGCATGTCATTTCCATTACCACAATGAACTTTTGCTTCTTGAATAAGCACAATCCGATGTTATTCCACAGCTCGGCAATTTCCGGCTCAGCGTTTGCGATTTGGCTGTATTTGCTGAGGGCGCCATCGACATCGTTGCGCGACTATTCCCAAAATATGCGCACACACATTCAGCATCAATACAATAAACATAAATATGTATTATGTACCACTTACCTGCAAAATGGCGCCAAAGGCCAAGAGTCCCTTGGGCGAGCATTTCCGTTCGATGCTGACGACTTCCGCTAAACGATCGTGTGCCTTTTGCGTCTCGTTGATTTTCAGGTACAAGACGCTGATTTCAATCAGCACCTCCGAATTCTCGGGCGTCAAGCTGAAAAGGGCGAATTTACAAAAAGAACTGAACTGGTAGCTTAGCTACTAACTGTAGGCAGTTCTCCAAGATTTCAATGGCTTTTTGGTACTGCTTGTCCTTGCGATACAACTCCGCCAAGCGCACATAGCTCTCCAGCTTCCGGCCGGATTGCACGGCCAACTCAAAGTAGGACCTGGCTTCGTCCTGCTGCTGGCTGGCCAAATCCTTTTGAGTCTGGTTCGTGGCCGCCCTGTAGAGGAGCTCGCCCAGGTAATGGTATATCTCGTGGTCCTGCCGGCTGCTCCTTTGCTCCGCCTCACGAAAAACGCCCAAGGCCTGACTAAAGCGGCCCATTATGTAGCTGAAAACGAATACGAGTTGGCAGTCAGCCTTTAAGCCGCTTTCGAAATATGTATGTGGGCGCTAAAGTTCCATTATTTTATCGAAATTAATTTAATGCCACTCTATTAATAGAATATGTTTTATGGAAAAGGCGGGGGTAAGCGGTCAATAAAACCATTTAATCTTCAATGTTTTTTAAGGCAGACGGACATGTCTTTTATGCTTGCAATAATATAATCATAAGTAGATTAAAATACACGAAAAAAGGTTTTAGCTGAAATCACAATAGAAGTTCCCAGCAAATGTAAAACACATTGTGATTAATTTCCAGTAAACGAACTCGGCTATAAATGAAATCCTTTAAAGCGCTTTTGAAAGTTCGCTGAAAAAAAGCCGCCTCGAATGAAAAAATGGTTGAGTATTTAAACAATAAATATGTGTAGTGTGAGAGCGTTTAAGGAGTTACCCACAGTGTGCGTCCGATTTCCTTGTAAGTCTCGATGTTCCTGGGATTGAGCTCCGCGGACTTTTGCAAGTGCCTGAGCGCCTCGATGTGGTTGCCCTCTTCACGGTCAATTAGACCCTGGCGAAGGCAATCAATTAGAAGGGACACCGAGCATTAAACACATCGAGTGGCACTGGCCCTTTGTTTTCGTCATCTCACCTGGACAAAGTACAGGTACTCGGGATTCAAATGCCGATTCAGTTCACGTTCGATGAGTCGGCGGCAGCGCGTGAATTCGCGGCGAGTAAAATAAATGTGGAGCAACCAATCAATGTTGGCATCGCTGGGCATTTTGGGAGCTAATCGAAGGACGAAGGACACAGGACAATGTAGTGAGTTCCGGAGCAAATGGCGGGGTATATCCTTCACCTGGACGCACAACCTCCAAGGTGGGCAATTCAATTAGTCTGCCGTTGCAGTTGATCTGTTCCGTTCCCGGTTCGTACATCGATTAGTTTGGTGTTTTTCCAGGACTGCGGCCAAAAGCTCAACTTCAAAGGCAACTTGCTGAATATTATGTTTCGATTTGTTTTGGCCGCCGGCAAGTTTGTTGTGCCGAGTTCGCGTTGCCATGGTTTTTCAGCATTTAAAGGTTGCCAAGGCAGACGGGCTGGAAATTAACTTGTTAACTGAATTAGTGCGCGTTTTAGCCGGGCCAAAACGCCCAAAATGAGCATAAGCAAATTCCGCGCTGTGTGTATTTTTAATTAGCTGCGACATACATGTCGAAAACCCATTCGAAACTAATCGAATTGCAATAAAAACAAACTTAAAAAAGGCAAGCTGGCAGATCTTGGGATAACCAGTTCCTTGGAACTCGCAGCGAAGTCCCGACTCTGACGCCGCCTAATTACTCAATTTATTTCACACCGGCCAAAGTGGCAAAGTCTGTTGCACTTGTTTCCATTTCGGGCCAAAAGACAAGTGATCGTGAGCTACATTTCAAACCGTTTACGCGGCCCAGGCCAAAACTCAAAAGCAATTAATTCACAAAAAATATCGTACAAGATCACCACCAATATCTGCATCAATCGATCGCTGGCGGCGCCGCTTTCAGATCTTTCCAGATCTCAGATCTCAAACGGGAAGTGCCACCTGAAGTTTTTTATAAAAGGCGCGGATTTTTTCTTTAGTCGGAAGTACTCACATACCCGCGGACCATTACGATTGACAGTCGTGATGGATTCGGTTCCAAAGTGGGGTTTCAATTGCAACAGATTAAAAGTCAATTGCCGCAATTCAGTTTACAATTACAAAGAATAAACAATGTTCTAAACTGGATACACTACATGGGGCTACAGTAAGTATTCAGTATCAAGTTTCTTTCGGAAAGCAATTGGAATATCTAAATTATTTCATTAACTTTTTTATTGCATTAGAAAAGTTGAAAGCTTTTGTAAATCTTTCCATAAATGTATAAACCATATTTTTAATATATCAATTTAAATATAAAGTCGCCTGACCTTAAGCAGTAGTGCCTCCATTGAAAAAATGGCACTAACATTTTTCTTAGATTGGTATATTTTCCATACATTTCCACTCGAAAATCTACATTCTAGTTAACAACTACATATACATATACACAGGCATATGTATATGTTTTCATCAACGAACAAAAGTTAACTCTTTTGCTAACTACTTTTTTAATTACTCTTTTTTTTCATAGTATATATCTATTTTAACGTAAAATTATTTTTCGCGCCCACTGTGTAGTAAGAAAACCGGTGTTGCCAGACTGTTGCTCTTTACATTTGGTGCGACACCTATCGGCGAATGATGCAACTTTAGTACGCAGGTCAAAGTA